TTTTTAACAAAAAGACTTTTTTTGGGGGGCTCTCCCTGGTGGCGCAACAGGTTAAAGCACAACATTATGAAGCTCTCCCAAGCCACTGCGGCAAGAGTTCGATCCCCGGCCAGGGAGCTGACCCACATGGTGCATCAGACCTTTCCTGACCACCCTGCTTCAGCTTCCTGTTCTGCTCCCCACTTTGTCTCTGGTGAAGCCTCTCACTCACCACATCTCTGGCCTGTACCCCAGCTCTGTATTCATAAGTAAGTAAATCTTAAAAAAAACAACTTTTCTTTTTTTCAGTTTTGTGTAGAGAATTGGGGTGTAGGCCAGAGAGCAGCAGGTGGGGAAGATGACAAGCTTCACCGGGCATGAGTGGGAAATGGCCAGACTCCTGCCCCAGAAGGCCCTGCACAGGCTGAGGCAGGCCTCGCTGCTGACCTGTCGGCCTCGCGAGACCCAGGACGCGTGGGAGTCATTAGGCCAATAGGGAAGGAAAGGGTTTTGAGAGAAAAGGTCCTGAAACAGGAAGCAACTTGGTGATCGAGGAACAGCTCAGCCACGGGAGGAGACGGCCGACTGTCGGGGCTGCACTTCTTAGCTGGCTGAACATTTATTCAATCGTCAGGGGAGCTGGTGACTTACCCTTTGTCCCTGATCAATTACCATAACTCTGAGTAAAACAGCAAATCTTGCAAACTGAAGGTGGCTTTGGGGAGCTTCAGACACCGGGTGATTTATGGTGTCACCTCACCGAGGGGTCAGGCGCCATTGTGACTGGGCACACCCTGCTCTAAATGACCAGGACTAGCACCTATTAAGCACCTATTGTATACCAGGCCGTGCGTGTCCATGAACGCCTGGGCTCTTCCCTTTTTTTTTTTTTTAAGATTTACTTATGCATACAGAACTGGGGTACAGGCCAGAGGTGCAGAGGGGTGAGAGGATGCACCAGAGACAGAGTGGAGGACAGAACAGTCAGATCGATGAAGTCCACTGCTGAGGGGAGCAGCGGGCAGGTCAGGAGAGCAGCAGGTGGGTCAGGAGAGGTCTGCCGCGCCCTGTGGGTCAGCTCCCTGGCCGGGGATCGAACTGGCACGCAGCGGCTGTGGCCAGCTTGCAGTGCTGAGCCTTAACCTGCTGCGCCACCAGGGAGGGCCCGCTGTGGCTCATCTTTTGCCACTGCTGAGGGCCCAGCATCCGCTATCCATGCTCCAGCTGGTGGAAACCAGGTGCTTCTAGCTGCACACAGGGCAGCCCAGGCCCCTTCTTGCGCCTCTCCCTGTGTGCCCAGGTCCAAGTGCTCAAGGATGCATGTGTGTCGTGCCTTATAGGTGATGTGCGTGTCCACGTTTATTCAATAACGCTCCACACTTGCCCATTCTAAGGTAGTGAAGTTACATCATGGGATCCCCAGATCGCAAAGCCGAACTGCCTGGGACTCAGAGATCTCTCAGACACCTCATGGCACATGGTGAGATTAATCCTTGGTCCTGAGGGGAATAGGACATTATTGGGGGTTCCCTTTCCTGTCCCCTATTGTGAACTCTGCACCCATCAGTTAATAATTAACTGCCCCCCAAGGAGCCTGCGATTCTACAGATTTGCCTTCCCCCGGCTACTGCCTGGTTAATCAGTCACTGCCCCTCTGGGCAAGGGGCATCTGGTCAACCCGTTGTCCACAAAGCGCCTTCCCTAGCTTGGATGCCAAGGGGTCCATGATGCTGCGGGTCTGGAGGTGGCTCCATTCCAGAGGCGGGGCCCCCGCGGGGGGCTGGCAGCCCCTGAGTTTTGATGGAGGGGCCTTCCACCTCAAGGGCACGGGGGAGCTGGCCCGGGCTCTGCTGGTGCTCCGGCTCTGTGCCTGGCCCCCGCTGGTCACCCACGGCCTGGCGGTGAGCGGTGCCCGGGGGCTGGCCCGGGGGCGCCTGTAGGTCCGGCTCTGAGCTCGCTCTCTGTCACCCCAGCTCCAGGCCTGGTCCCAGCGGCTCTTGGGCTCCCGGCTCTCGGGGGCGCTTCTCCGGGCCTCCATCTATGGGCAGTTCGTGGCGGGGGAGACGGCCGACGAGGTGAGGGCCTGCGTGCAACAGCTGCAGGGCCTTGGCCTCCGGCCCCTCCTGGCGGTGCCCACTGAGGAGGAGCCGGACTCAGACGTCAAGACAGGGTGAGTGGGGGCCATCCGGGGTCCCGGAGGGCGGCAGGAGGGAGGGCGGGGGCCCCAGGGTCTGACGCCTGCTGGTGGGCAGGGAGGCCTGGTACGAGGGGAACCTCAAGGCCATGCTGCAGTGTGTGCACCTTTCCCGAGGCCTCCCGGAGACCCCGGGCTCCGCAGGGGACGTCCTCATGCAGCTGAAGGTGACTGCGCTGGCCAGCACGAGACTCTGTGTAAGGGGCTGGGCAGGCGGGGGAGGGGCGCGGTTGTCATGGGGCCCTCACTGACCTCCCCGCTTCTCACTGCAGAAGGAACTAACCGCGTGGGCTAGAAGGCCAGAGGCTTCCTCGGAGCTGAGCCCCGAGAGGCTGGCAGGAGCCATGGACTCCGGGCAGGTGAGGACCCCAGATGGGGGATAGTAATGTCGGTGGGAGAAGCAGGGTCCTGGGACTTGGACGTGGCAGGTAACTGCAAGGGGGTCTTCAAAATCTTTCTTTTTAAAAACTATTTATTGGGGTGAGAGGATTCACCAGAGAGAGAGTGGGGAGCAGAACAGGCAGGTCCACTGAAATCCCCTGCTGAGGGGAGCAGCAGGGAGACAGGAGAGGTCTGCTGTGCCATGTGGGTCACCTCCCTGGCTGGGGATCAAACTGGTGCTGCAGCGGCTGCAGATAGCTTCACAGTGCTGCGACTTAACCCCTTGCATCACCAGGGAGGTCCCCAATTTTTTGATTTTTAAAATATCTTTAATATCTAAACACATCGCTGACTCGTAGAAGTGAGAGCTGGTGTTTCAGAGGGCGGGCTGTGGAGAGTGACATTTCACCCTGAAGGAGTTTTAGTTGCCTCACGAGAGGACGGTGGCAGCAGCTTCTTTCCAGAGAGGACTAAAATCCCTGCTGAGCTGGGACCTGACCTCCAGATGGACAGAGGGACTCGCCTCCTCCTTCCACCACTTGGCTTCTCCAGAGCATGACCTGCTTCTCCTTTCTCATCTCTGCGGGCTCAGTTTCAACCTTTGCTAGGTTTTTGGTCTCTTCAATATGGCAGTTTCCCAGGGCTCCCTCCCTGACCCCGACAGCCTGTTTTCCCATCTGCAGTAGAGATGTCCATGTTTTTGTCTCCTGCCCCAGCCTGAGCCCCTCAAACACCTTTCTCTGGACACCCCCAGACTGCTCACACCTGTTCATCCCACACCGACGCCAGCGTCTCCTGCCCCTCAAGGCCCCCCACCTCACTCCCCCGCTGCCAGTACTGGCCCCCCCTTTCACTGGCTCCTTAGCACAACCCACGACGCTCCTGTTCACAGCACAGCCCTGTCCCAGCACTGTGGTGGGTCGGAGAAATACATGGTGAATGAATGCATGAATGGATAAATGGTTGAAGGCAGCAATTAATGAAACTGTTAATAAAGGGGAACTTTGGCCCTCCCTGGTGGCGCAGCCGGTTAAAGCACAGCATTAAGCTAAAGCCACTTCAGCATGAGTTCGATCCCCACCCTGGAGGTGACCACATGGCCCGGCAGACCTCTCCTGACCCACCCGCTGCTCCCCTCAGCAGTGTATTTCAGTAGATCTGCCTGTTCTGCTCCCGACTCTGTCTCTGGTGAATCTTCTCACCACCCTTGCACCTCTGGCACCCCAGCTCTGTATGCATAAATAAATAAGTCTTTAAAAAAAAATCATGGAGAACTTGGGCCCTTCCTGATGGCACCGTGTATTAAAGCACAGCACTCTGAAACTATCTGCAGCCACTGCAGCCCAAGTTCGATCCCTGGCCAGGGAACTGACCCACAGGGCCCAGCAGACCTCTCCTGTATCCCTGCTGCACCCCTCCGCAGTGTATTTCAGTCCATCTCCCTGTTCTGCACCCCACTGTCTCTGGTGAATCCTCTCACCCCCCACCTCTGGTCTGTGCCCCAGTTCCTTATGCATAAATAAATAAAGTCTTAAAAAATGGGGAACTTGCTAATTACCACAGTACACCGCACCCTGCCTGCAGTGACTCATGTATGATGGAGGAAAAGTGGACTCTGCCCATGAGTGGGTGCAGACACTGTGTGACTTTGGACAAGTGGCTTCCTAGCTCTGTGCCTCAGTTTCCCCCTCTGTAAATTGGTAGTGGTCCCCACCTCAGAAGAGTGAATGCACTAAATATCTTAAACCTGATGTGGTTCCTAGAGACGAGTAGTGCTTCTGAGGCGATGCCATCATGTTAGGGAGCACCAAGAGGCTGACATCCCAGAACCCCTTCCCAAGAATGCACCCCAAGCCAGGGGCAGACGATTCTCTGACTGGGCAAAGATAACTGTGCAGCTTCCAGCTCTTCCCTGCTGCTGCAGGGAGCTTCCTCCCCCACGATGGGAGATGGTTAGTTCAGACCAAGGGGGGGCAAAGGGGGGAGGTGAGGGGGTTCCTTGGCAGGCTGGGCTGGGTCCTTCGCGCCACCCGGCTAGTCACCTGTTCCTCTTTCTTCAACTTCCCAATTTCTGTCACCCTGCTAGACACCCAGTTCACATTCACCCCTAGAACCCCCCCAGTAGGCTGTGATGTGGTTGTTTCCTAAATGCTGAACACCACATGCTCCAGGTGCCAGGGCTGGGGAGGAGGAGATAGGACTCCGCCCTGGGGGCACTTACTGCTAGTGGCAGGAGGGGCTCAGCTTTATTTATTAAAAACCAATAAAAATAAGCATTGTCAGGGAAATAAATTGCAGGCAGGGAAACAGAAAGCCCTGGGGTAGTTGTGAATTTATTTATTTTTTAATATTTATTTATTTATGCATACGAGAACTGGGGTACAGGTCAGTGGTGCCAGGCATGAGAGGATTCCCCAGAGACAGAGTGGGGAGCAGAACAGGCAGGTCAGCGAAGCACACTGCTGAGGGGAGCAGTGGGCGGGTCAGGAGAGGTCTGCCGTGCCATGTGGGTCACCTCCGGGGCCAGGGATCGAACTCGTGCTGCAGTTGGCTGAGCTTTAACCTCCACGCCACCTGGGAGGGCCCTGTTTTTAACCTTTTCCCTTCCTGGTGGGGGGAGAGTGGGGTCTAGGCCCTCGAGGGGCCCAGGAGCCTGACCCCTCTCGCCTCCCTTGATGCCGCCCAGGATCTCCAGCTTTCCTGCCTCAATGCTGAGCAAAACCGCCACCTCGGGGCCTCTCTGAGCCGCTTGCACCAGGTGGTACAGGTGAGGCCCTCCTCCCCGGGGGCTCCCCCGCCTGCCGGCCCTGGGGCTGACCGGCTCCTGTCTGCAGCACGCCCGCGCCAAGCAAGTGCGCCTCCTGGTGGATGCCGAGTACACCTCGCTGAACCCCGCGCTCTCGCTGCTGGTCGCGGCCCTGGCAGTGCGCTGGAACAGCCCCGCCGAGGGTGGGCCCTGGGTGTGGAACACCTACCAGGCCTACCTCAAGGTGCGTGGTGCCCGCGGGGGCTGCGGCCGGGCTCCCCGCGCCCTAAGCTGCTGTGCCCTGCAGGACACACCCGAGAGGCTGAGGCGGGACGCGGAGGCCGCTGACAGGGCCGGCCTGGCCTTCGGGGTGAAGCTGGTCCGAGGGGCCTATCTGGACAAGGAGAGAGCCATGGCCCGGCTCCAAGGGACGGAAGACCCCACTCAGCCTGACTACGAGGCTACCGGCCAGAGGTAGGACTGGGGCGCTCTGGCCTCCGAGGCCTGCTAAGGAGCATCCAGCGTTAACTGGCGCTCACTTCCCACGATGATGCCCTGTGTGTGGGAGCTCCAGGCACTAGCCTGGACAGCAGCCTCCCCCTGGGCGCCCGGCTCCCTGACGGTCCCTCCTCCCCAGTGTCTTCCAGCACAGCCAGAGGGAGCTCCTTGCTGCCTGAGTCACTCTGAACCCTCCTCAGTTCAGTCTTGGCGTGGCTCCCTTTCATACTGTCAATAACCCCAGAGCCTTGGGTCCCAGGCAATCTGGTCCCTTGTCTGGCCTCCTCCTCTTCCCACTCTCCTCACTGACTGTGCCCCCACCACAGATCCTCCCTGGTGACCCCAGGGCCTTTGCACTTCCTGTGCCCACTGCCTAGAATGTCTGCCTGCCCATAGCTTCTTGGTTCAATCCCTCATGTCCTTAGGTCTTTACCAATTAGTGTCTTCTCTGGAGAGCTTCCCTACCCGCCCTATCAAAAATGAGAACATCCTACACCCATCTCTTGGCACTTAGCAGCTGAGGTGTTAGATAGTTTCCTGTTAGCTCGCTGTCTGTCTCCCTCGCTAGAATGGGGGCCTCAGGAGGGCGGGAATTTCTAGCTTGTTCAGTGTTGAGCCCCCAGTGCTGAACAGAAAGCATGCGTAGTGCTGAATGAGTAAACAAACACCTCAAGCAGTAGATACTATTATGACATCCTCTGTCACAGGCAGAGACAGAGATGTGGAATCACTTGCCCAAGGTCATGTGTGTTGCGCTGACAAAACACACTGATGACAGGAGTCATGGAACAGGCTGGAGGGTGCAGGATGCTGCTGAAAAGCAAGATCCTGGCTTTTTCTTTTCTTTCTTTTTTTTTTAAGATGTATTTATTTACGCTTACAGAACTGGGGCACAGGCCAGAGGTGCAGGGGCGGTGAGAGGATTCACCCCAGACAGAGTGGGGAGTAGCACAGGCAGATTGAATATACTGCTGAGGGGGACAGCGGGGAGACAGGAGAGGTCCCCTGCGCCACGTGGGTCAGCTCCCTGCTGGGGATTGATCTTGTGTTGCCTTGGCTGCAGGTATCCTCATAGTGCTGCGCTTTAACCTGTTTCGCCACCAGGGAGGGCCCGTTCCTTGTCATAAATCAGCCTGCAGCCCCTGGGCTTTCCCGCCATACCTCAGGATTCACACCCTTCCCAGGGATCAAGGATTTCTGCTCTTGACTGACTTGAAAGGCACCTTGTAAGACTGACCTTGTATAGGAATGCAGAAGGGTGGCGGAACAGGCTGCTGAGGAGTGGCAGACCTGCGGACACGCATGTGTGGCTAAGAAGTGGCAAGGTCGAGTTAGGTCAAGCATACTGCTCCAGAACAGTTTTTGTTCATCTCAAGTCACCCTGCACTGGGGAAAAGATGTGGGTGAGCTCCTTGAACCCCCATCCCATGGCCTTGGGAAGTGGGAATTTATTCACTCAGCCCATACTCGCCGGCCACCTGATTTGGACCCTCGTTGCCCTTGCAGCCAAGGTGGCCCCCTGTCACGAGCTCCATGTCACAGCTTCTTAGGTCTCCTTGGCACATTTGAGCCCCATAGCCTAATTGTCAACATTGTTATTATTACTATTTTTACTGAAACATAATACATACCATAACATTCCTATTTTCACATGTCATAGAATTCACCACTTTAAATTCAGTGGATTTTAGTATATCATAAGGTTGTACAATTGTCACCACTAATTCCAGAACATTTTCATCCCCTCAAAAAGAACCCTCGTCTCCATCACCCCTGGCAAACACCAGTCTTTCTGCCTTCATGGGTTTGCCTGTTCTAGACTTTATATTAATGGAATTATACAAATGCTACATGGTGTTTTTGAGATTCATCCATATTGTAACTTGAATCTGAAGACCATTCCTTTTTCATGGCCAAATAATATTCCACGGTATGGATATGCCACATTCTGTTTATCCATCTATCACCTGATAGATATTTGGGCCGTTCCTACTTTTTTGGCTTTGTGAGGAATGCTGCTGTGAATTTCACACGCACATTGTTGTGTAAACATATTTTGAATTCTCTTGAAAGCGCAGTTCTTTAAGAATAGAATCACTGAGTTGTACAGTAACTCTCTGCTTAACTGTTGGAGGAGATGCCAGGTGTTTGCCCAAAGGGTCTGCCACAGTTCCCAGTCCTCTCAGCACAGCATGAGCCGTCCAGTTTCTCCACATCTACTCCAGCATGCACCATGGACGTTTAATAGAGCTTTTGAGTAAATAACACATTTGTATGATCCCAGAATCACAGTGATGTGAGAATGAATACACTAACAGCTCCAGGTACATGTACACCTCCTTCTGATAGTGGCATCCCCCTCCCCCCCACACCAGCAATCAGTTCTGTTCATGTCTCCTACGTGTTTCCTGAATTCCATTATACACACAGATGACCATGAAGATGCGTGTGTGTGTACATGTGTGGCCCCCAGGGGCCGTGTGCCTGCATGCGGCCTTTCCACTCAGCCCAGTGTGAGGAGCACAGGTCTTGGAACATCAGACAACCAGAGTTCAAGTGACAGGTTGGCCTCATTGAGCCGGGTGACCGAGGGACAAGGACTTCACCCCTCCCAGCCCTCTTTAAAATGGGGGTGCCAGAACATCTACTCCACAGACTGCTCATAGAGCAGGGCAGGGGCAGGGGGTCTACAAGGAATGCGGAGGCACCAAACAAGAGCAGAAGAGGGACCTCCCTGTGGTGCAAGGGTTAAAGCGCAGCACCGCGAAGCTAGAAGCTAGCTGCAGCCACTGCAGCACGAGTTCGATCCCTGGCCAGGGAGCTGACCCACAGGGTGCAGCAGACCTCTCCTGTCTCCCTGCTGCTCCCCTCAGCAGTGTACTTTGTCAGTCAGCCTGTTCTGCTCCCCACTCTGTCTCTGGTGAGTCCTCTCACTACCCCTGCACCTCTGGCTTGTACCCCAGTTCTGTGTGCATAAATAAGTAAATCTTTATAAAAAAAAAAAAAAAAGCAAAAGATTGAGGATGAGGACCTTTGTACTGCACTGTGACTGAGGAAGTGGAACACCCTGGAGGAGGCGTGGCCACCCTTAGGGCAGTCAGGCTAGTCCAGGCAAGGGGCTAAAGGTAACATATGCCCAGCCTGCTCTCCTTCCATCTCTGCTCTCCTTCCCATGACTCCAGTGGTGATGTAGGATGTATAAGTCCGTGTCCTGAGGGGTGGAGAAGAGGGGACAACACATCTGGGTTCAGCAGAGACTAAACTAATGTAGTCTGTGAAGCCCAGAGGGTGGCCCCTGGCCTGAAGCAGGTTCTGAACACCTTGTGTCGTCTGTGTACCTTCAGATTGGTGCCCAGGGAGAGGCCTCATCCTTTTTAACAGCTGTATAGTACTCCACCACCCGCAGTGTGCTATCATTCATTTAGCTAGCTGCCTACTTATGGACATTTGGGTCATCGCTAATTACATTTTGTGGACAGCACCGTCCTGAGTGACCTTGAGTTAAATGTGAGCTGGTGTGGGTGATGTGGCCTTTTGCCCTGTGGCTGCCACTGTGTGGACCCTTACCTCACGCCATCCTCACAGCAGGTGAACTCACATCATTACAGAGGAAACTGCTCAGAGAAGGGCTGTCCCTGCAGTTAGGGAGTACGGGCACCCCCCTCCCCAGGACAGGAGTCCTTGGCAGAGCGTCCCTCACTCAACAGGTGCCACAAGCTGAACTCACCTCTCCCTCAGTTATAGCCGCTGTCTGGAGCTGATGCTGGCCCAGGTGTCCCGCCGAGGCCCCCTCTGCCGCCTCATGGTGGCGTCCCACAACGAGGAGTCTGTTCACCAGGCGACGCAGCGGTATGCAGTGGGGTGGGAGGCAGGTACTCCCCTTCCTCACCAGGCAAGAGGGTGGTGGACCCCATAGGAGGGACAGTGCAGGGCCAGGCGGCCTGAGGGTTGTGGGGGAACATCCCCAATATGTAACCCCGCTACATCGGTAGGTCCCATTGACCCAGCTGGCCAAGGCGTCGGTCTTTACTGGCGGGGGTACAGGAGCCCGAGGGGTCCCTGGGGGGTCATCGGGACAGACGGGAGCAAGGTTATGTATCTCTGAGCTTGGCGCCTCGTGCTGTGGACTGGCCACCCACGCCTGCGCTGACGAGAGCCTTCCTGCAGCATGTGGGAGCTGGGCATCCCCCTGGACGGGCCTGTGTGCTTCGGACAACTCCTGGGGATGTCTGACCACGTCTCCCTGGCACTGGGTACGTCCACGCCCCTGGCCCCACCCAGGCCTCGTTCCCCTCCAGCCCGGTCCCCTCCGCCTCCCAGCCAGGGCCTGGCCGGGCCCCAGCCAGGGCGTGCAGCTGGGGCAGGCGCCAGGCTATCTGGGAGAGGGCGCCAGTGTCCGGAGGCCCGGCCGGCCTGGCCGCTCTGGCTGTGTGCAGCTTCCAGACGTCCGTGTCTTGTTCCTGCGCGTGTTGGTATCTTCACGGAGTTGCTCCCAGGCCTGGGATCACAGTGTGTGTTTTCTTCTGCCAGGAGCCAAGGCGTGCAAAATCACTGTGAATCCACAACAAGAGCTTGCTTGCGTCACCCCAGGGTGCACCCTGGGATGGCCAGTGTGTTTGGGGCTAACCCCCGGCCAGAGCTTCTTGGGGTGGATTTCTGTTTTCGCCTCCTAACTGTTTAGGGTCAAGGCCATTCCGTGTGTGTGGAGATGGCGGGAGGGCTCCTGTTGGCGCCTGCTCCGAGGGTGTCCGTACGGAGCCCCAGCTTAATACGGGGAAGTTCTCCTGGCACTCCCATTCTGGGCCGGTGATGGGACTTGATTCTCTCCCTCCTTGACGCCCCCGGAGTCAGCCGGTGGCAGCTCAGGGCAGACATGCTTCTGTGTGTCTGGCAGCATTTTAATAACTGGTTTTTTAAAAAGACTTATTTATGGCGGGTCAGGAGAGGTCTGCCGCGCCATGTGGGTCCCCCCGGGGCGGGGATCGAACTCGTGCTGAAGTGGCTTTAGCTTCTCAGTGCTGTGCTTGAACCCGCTGCGCCACCAGGGAGGGCCTGATTTTAATAACTTTAAGAATGTTTTCTTCAATGCTTGCTTTGGGAGTTTAGTTTTGTTTTTGTTGGTGGTGGCGTTCAGTTCACCTTCTTGTCAGAAGTGGAAGTCTCTGGGGAGCCTCTCCCCAGCAGGGGCCCACATCCTGCCCACGTCCCCCCCCAGGGCAGGCCGGCTATGCTGTGTACAAGTCCATCCCCTACGGCTCCCTGGAGGAGGTGATCCCCTACCTGATCCGGAGGGCCCAGGAGAACCGGAGCGTGCTGCGGGGAGCCCGCAGGGAGCAGGAGCTGCTCGGCCAAGAACTGCGGCGGAGGCTGCTGGGGGCGGCCTGAGGGTCCCCTGGCAGCCCCGGAGGTCATGTGGTCAATAAAGGTCCCCCACTCCCGCCCAGACTGCAGCCCGCAGCAGAGCTACGTCCTTGGGGAAGGAGGCCCCCACGAGGGCCCAAGCGGGGGCCGGGCTGCGCTGAGTGAGAGACCTCGCGGTGGGTGACACAGAGCTGGCAAGGACTTGGTCCGGGTCTCGAGGGAGCCCCCAGCCCAGACGCGGCCTGGACCGCGGGGCCTGGGCAGGCTGCCCTGCCAGCGACTCACCTGGGGCCTCTCGGCCACAGCAGATGCCACGCGACACAGAGGCGGTGGCCACAGGTGCAGGAGGGACAGAAAGAAGAGCCACAACATCCCTCGACAGGCATGTGCATGTGCCAGGCCAGGTCTGAGTTAGGCTCTGAGGTCAGCTAAGCTGGGCTGGGGGAGAGTAGCGGGGACCCAGTCAAGCCGGGGGGCCCCGTCCAGGCTGTTCACCTGGGAGGGGCCGACAGCCTCTTCCTGGCGTGGTCAGTGCTGTGGGGGGGAGCTGGGCCGAGAATGGGTGATGTTAGGGAAAGCCTGGGAGCTGTGGGAAGCCACGGTAGCCAGCTGGAGGGTCTAGAGGACTCCCCGGGGAATAAGCAGGAGCGTAACTAGAAGAGCATTCAAAGACAAGGGTGTGTGCAGGAATAGAAAACAGACTTGGGGGGGTGATGAGGATGGGGGGCAGGGGGTGGGCGGCTGGTGGTGCAGGCTTAGGGGCCACACTGTGGGGCTGGGACTGTGTCCCAAATGCGGGGGGGGGGAAGGTTTTTTGGGGGGAGTCAGGAGGGTCTCAAGCAGGGTCAGCTTTGGTTTTAGGGAGACCTCTCCCAGCACCACCCCACCCCTACCCCCCAACCGCTATGTGGTGGGTAGACCAGAGTGGGGAGAGACTGGAGGCCCTGAGGAAGCTGGGCCAGGGGTGGTGTGGGAAGGGAGGAGGGGCCTGGGGGGTGCTGCGGCCTGATAAGATGGGGGTTGGGGCAAGTGAGAGGATCCGGAGGCCCAGGCTCTGGCTGGAGGGGGGGGTCAGTGGCGCCAATGCTGAGATGGGGATCTTGGGGAGACGCTGAGTCAGCACAGGCCCTGCAGGTGTGAGGGTCCCTAGGGATGTCCAGTGGACGTGTGTGAGGCCCGGGGCTGGGGCAGAGGAGTGGATGGGGCGGGACAGAGAAAGGAAACAGTGAGTGGAGTGAGAAGCAGGACGGGATGAGTCTTGATTAGCGACTTCTGGGGGGTTATGGCACCCGGTTCCATGGCAGCGCCCCCTGCAGGCATCTGGGTTTAGGTCCTTCTCCCTGGGAGGCTCTGCTCTGACAGACACGGCCCCCAGTCTGGACACCCATGGACTGGGAAGGTGACTCAGGTCAGACGACATGTGGGTGCAGGGTTCTCAACTCTGTGGGTGCCTTCCCAGCCCTCCCCAGCCTCTGGCACTATCATTTTCCCCACTGCTAGTTTTTTTTTTTTTTTAAGATGTAGTTATACATGCATACAAGAGCTGGGGTGTAGGCCAGAAGGGCAGGGGGTTCACCAGAAACAGTGGGGAGCAGAACAGGCAGAGGTACTGAAAGGTGAGAGTCAGCTCCTGGGTGGGGATCGAACTCGTGCTGCCGTGACTGCAGATAACTTCACAGGCTTGCAACTCTGAGCTGCCAGGAGTCCAGATAGGACGGAGGAGCCCCGAGAAGCCGAGAAGCCCGGCCCTCCTTCGTCTCTGAGACAACAGAATGAATGGGCTCGACTTTCTGTGCAGAGAAGAGAGTGGAGCATTCTTAGTCATATTAAGACAACGGTCTTTAACCTGCTCGAGGGGAGGCCTGCAGCTGGCTCGGCGGCCTCTGCAGCAGATGGTGGGGAGCTGATTCCCCAGCCCAGCCCCAGTCTGAGGGCACCAGCGCCCCGAGAGGTGGCATTTAGTGCTTGTACGTGGGCAAGGTGTGCTGCCTCGGGCCTAGTCCCACGTAACGGGCACCCACAGTAGAAGTGCGGGGTTCCTGGGGCTCCCCAGACGTGTGTTCCCCACAGGTTGGTGAGAGGGAACTCTCCCTCTCTTCTTTCACTTTCTGAGTTAAGTGGGTCTTCTGAGGCTTAAACACTGTTTCCCAGGCTTGCAGGTCCCCGCCAAGCCCCCACCCACCCTTCGCTATTTGCAGAAACAAAAGAGTAAGCCACCTCATTACATGACAAAGCCGCCCGCTGGTCATTTTAAATGGGCCCAGCACGAGCCTAGGCGGCTTGGGGAGGCTGGCAGGTGTGCAGTCTCCTTCCTTCCGTGAGGACCACACATCCTCGAGCCGGTGAGACGTCTGCCAGCTTTCAGGTAAGCGTGTCCTCCTTGGCTGAGAAGCTCCTCCATTCTTGGAGGGTCGAAGCAGCTCTGGTTGTTTTAAAGTACCGGAATGCCCGGTGATTCTGCAGACTCGAGGGGTGCACTCCCCGATACGGCAAGATGTGGGGGTCGGCTCCGCATGGGCCTCCACCCCCCCACTCACCCTGGTGTGGAGCGCCCGAGGCGTGACAACTCCCGCAAGCATCACCGCAAGCATCACCGCTCCCGGTGTCCCCAGGAAGACGGTCCTGAGCTGTCCACCCTTCAGCCAGCTGATCCGGAGTTCGGCTCTCCGACTTCAGCAGAACCTGGTCTGATGGTTTCAGTGGAGGTCCCGGACCTGAAAGAGCAGCGTCTCTAACAGATGCCAGGGAATGAACTCCATCTCGAACGGGCCTAGGCGGCACACATCATCTTTAATTTCTGATCTGTTACCACATCGCCCAGTCAAACTTTGGTCTGGAATGGTCCCCCACACACAATTTTATATGGCCCTCTTCAGGGAGCCCCCCACACCCCCAACAAGGCCACGGGCAAAGCCTGACCCCAGGAAGACGTTTCTTGACATAACTTTGCTCCCACTTAGCATGGCTTCCATCTACTTGGCCTGAAGACAGACCGCGGCCTGTGCAGTCTCCACCCGCCTTATCTCCGTCACAGAAGCAGGTTCCTGCCTCAGTCCTGCCAGGCAGTTGTACACCAGCTGCTTTTTCAGCAGTTTGGTGCTTCCAGAGGTTTTTCTGTTTCGGTGGGGGCTGCTTGGATCCATCTTGACATACACCAGCAGATTGGAGGTCGTTTTTGGAGTTTGGGGTCCTTGGGTTCACTCTGGGAAAGGTTTTGTTACAGGGCAGGGAGAGAGGGGCACCCCTGAGCCCCCAAACCTGCCTGTTCTCAATAGGTTCTGCCATCCGCCGCATCAAGACAAAACATAGAAGACCTTTCATGGAAAGAAACTTTAGTACAGAGTGTGCAATGTAGAAAAGACAAAGAATACAGTCTCTAAACGAAACACCCAAAGTTCCCCATCCCCTCATGGGTAAAAGTCTACCCAAAAGGGCCCGTCACGGGACTAAAGCACCTTCTGGCCGGGACCAGACCAGTAAAGGATCAGACATGGCCAGACAAGTCTGGGCGGAAAAGAGCAGAATCAACACCAAGATAAACACTGCCACAGTCACCTCCCCGCGGGTCTGTCACCCACGTCTGTTTCAACCAGTTCAGGGCCAAGAAGCAAGAGCCGCTTCTTGTCTCTGCCCCCTGTGCCTCCCTCAGGTCTCCTGGCCTCCATCCTGCTCTCTTCCTCTAGGGTCTCCTCTCAGATTCTCCCAGATTCTCCTCCCT